CTAAAGTAGTCGCAACAACGGCCAGCCAAGGCGCCTCGCGGTGGTCGGTGGCGGAAAGCGGCGCGGTGCTAGGCGGTGTGCTCTCTTGGTGACCCCACACTTCTCCCGCCACATGGTCTGCTGGTCTGCACCGCCTGATGAGAAGAGCGGAGGGCTTCCGATGGAGAACGAGGTGGAGGATGTGCCTCCCCAACTGCCGCCCACAGGGAAAATAGCATGCCCGCCGCCCGTGGGGGAAACCGCATGCCCGAGATCCCCGACGCAGCCAGGACGAGATCGAGGTCCTCCAGCGCAGCTAAAGCGCAATCGGCGGCGGGTCCGTGTGGAGGCCGAGGCGCCGCACCCATCTTTGTCCAAATGAGGGCGACGCGGCGAGCGTCGTCGGCATCGGTATCGCCCGTCCACCCCGCCGTAGAGGACGCCCGAAGCCGGGGCGCCGCCATGCGCCATGACAACCCCGGTGGTCGGGAGCGGCGGTAGGTGTGGCTGGGTACTGGGCGCCGTGTAGACGGGTTTCGACAAACCGGCGATCCAAGCCGGAAGTGGTGGCGGCGACAGTTGCTGCTGCATGGGCGGCGGTGGCGGGTTCGGCTGTGGTCCTTGCGGTCCCAAAAGAAACGCATGAATCCCGGCCACCATCTTGCCGAGGTCGAGCACCGCTGCCGTCAATTCTGCGTTCGACATGACGCCAATGGTGGAGGGAGACGCCCCCGCGGCCATCGACAGCGAGGTCCCAAGGACGAGCGATAGGGCTCCCGCGAGCAGAACCGGCTGGGACGTCCGCGGGTCAGGCAGCTGCGCGGAGGCGTTGGTGGCCGACGGCGGAGTGGTGGAGGTGGGCAGCGAGGTCGACATCGGAACCGAGGAACCGAGAACGCTGATACCAGGTTGTTATGTGGCTGCTAGGATTGAGAGGAGAGAGAGTCGAGGGGAGCGACGGCGGGTGGCCGGCGCTGATCTGTAGTCTTGTTCACTGTTCATGGGTATGGCTACGAGGGTGAGAGAGAGCCGGACGCGGGGCGTTTGCCCATGGCCGGGCAAGAGGGAAGGGTTTTCCTTCTTAATTCTTGCTTGATTAGATTGATACATCTCCTCTCCTTATATAGAGAGGTTTACTTGACTCCTGAGCAAGCGACTCTTATCTCTAATTAACCCTAACACTAATTGGCTATACATCCAGCCCAGGCCCAATAGGCCCCTGCCATACTCTGATACCATATTGTTATGTGGCTACTAGAATCGAGAGGAGAGAGTCGAGGGGAGCGACGGCGGCTGATGCGTTACAGTACCCACGGAGCTACAGTACCACGGGTACTGTTCATGGCTAGGGTTGCGAGGGTGAGAGAGAGCCGGCCGTGGGGCATTTGCCCATGGCCGGGCAAGAGGGAAGGGTTTTCCTTCTTAATTCTTGCTTGATTAGATTGATACATCTTCTCTCCTTATATAGAGAGGTTTACTTGACTCCTAAGCAAGCGACCTTTATCTCTAATTAACCCTAACACTAATGAGCTATATATCCAGCCAAGGCCCAATAGGCCCCTGCCATACTCTAACAGCAATATATATAAAAAATAAAAAATAAAACATACCATAAATATTACATAACATAACATGGTTCAGGGCATAACGTTCAACAGTTCAAGGCATAACGTTCAGGCCATCAAGCCATAATTCAAACTTAGGTACGACACACACACATAACATAGCAACTAGATTAAGGACATGACATGATGAAATGATAAAACGATAACTGATAAAGTGATGAAATGATGATGCATGAACAGCAGCTGGCCATGGCAAACTGGCAATCATCCATCAATCCATCGATCCAACATCTTCAGTCAGACCCAGCAGCAACACCAGAGCTTTCAGTTATTCCTAACTGAAAGGTCCTTGTTGGTTTTGGTAATTGAGTGACAACCTAGGTGGACTAATTGTGTTTATGTGAGATACATAGGTGATTAGTCCACAGGTACATGTGTATGAGCAACATATGCCATGGAGGTGAAAATGGCTTGGAGATGTTGCAAAGCTCACACATGTGATGATGAAGGAGCTTATTGCAAATGAGACATGACATTGAGTCATGTGATCAAGGTGGAGAAGATCAAGACAAGACTTGGCTTGATGGACCGGTTGCAAGCGTGAAGGGCAAGTCAAAGGCTTTGGAGTGATGGACCGCGTGGCGGTGAAGCTTGAGCAAGACTTGGCGCCGATGGACGATAGCAACGGTGAAGAGCAAGTAGAGTCAAGATCGATGAACCAATATGATTATGTGATGATATGAAGTGGATCATATCATTGTTGATCGTGTTGGTGCATGTGTTGCATCGACATTGAAGGAGATGGAATGGAATGCGCAAGGCAAAGGTATAACCTAGGGTATTTCATTTCACCGGTCATAGGTGTGTAGAGAAGTTTATGACCGGGTTTAGGATAGATGGCCGTACTTATCAAGAGGGCAAACTTGTTTGCATATCGGTCATCTAGTGCCACTCGAGTGATCTAACTTTGCATTGTCGCTAGGATCGAGTGGCGTGGCAAGTTGAGTGGCTAACATCATTTGGGAAATGATTGTGAAAATGCTAACACACATACACATGGTGGTGTACACTTGGTGGTGTTGGCACATTTACAAAGGAGGTGATGTTTGCAGGGGTGAGATGGGTTTGGGTCCCTCTCTATTGCGCCGGGAAAATAGAATGCCTATTTTCTATTGCGCCGGATGCAAGTTCTTGTGGTTAGCACATTGGAGCAAGGGTGATGAAGTTAGAAGTGAAAACGAGTTAGTCGCGAAGATCTTTGGCGTCCGTCAACCGGACCGGACGCCGAATCTGAATCTCTGCCGACGCCGGGCAGTCGTCCGGTCAAACGTCTGATGATGACGCAGAAGCTGGAGTGTGACCGGACGCTGGCTGCGTCCGATCAAGTGTGACCAGACGCGTCCGGTCGAGGTCGGTACCTTACTGGAAACGATCGGACGCTGGGGGTTCAGCGTCCGGTCAGTTGAAAGCTGCTGCGTCCGGTCAAGTCAAGTGACCGTTGGAACCGGGACACGTGGCCGTCTGCGGGCGACCGGACGCTGAGGTCCAGCGTCCGGTCAACACGACCGGAGCGTCCGGTCGGCCCGACCGTTGCCCAGTGAAGGGGTAACGGCTAGTTTAGCCCTTGGGGCTATAAATAGAAGTGGCCCTCGGCCATGGCTGGTGCTGAGCACCTCAAGGGACTTAGTGTCCATGCTTGTAAGTGCTTGGAAGCCCTCCATCACGCACATACTTGATAGCGATCATCCGATTGTGTGAGTGAGCGATACTAGTACGATTGCATCGTGAGGTTGCATCGAGTGGCACTAGGTGATCGAGTTGCGAGCCGGTGGTGCTTGTTACTCTTGGAGGTTGCCACCTCCTAGATGGCTTGGTGGTGGTCTCCGTCGAAGCGCGCAAGAAGCTTGTGCGGCGCTCCGGAGAAGTGCTTGTGAGGGGCATTGTGCTCGCCCCGCGGGAGCCGCGAAGAGCAACTCTAGTAAAGCGTGTCATTGAGCTACCCTCACTCAAGGGGTAGGTTCTTGCGGCGCCCGACGTGCGGGCTTAGCGGGTGATGCTAATTAGCCGCCGAACCACCAAGTGAGCGGTCGACACAACGGGGACTAGCGTGTTGGCAAACACGTGAACCTCGGGAGAAAAATCATCGTGTCAACCTTGTTCCTCCCGTTGGTTTGCATCCCCATTACACAAGCTTGCAATTTCTTTTATACATATTAAGCTTGTGTAGTTGCTCTTGTAATTAGATAGCTTGTGTAGCTCGCTAATTACCTTCTTGCTTGTGTAGCATAGAAGTAGCTCCCTTGCGTGGCTAATTTGGTTTTAGTAACCTTGTTAGTCACATTGCTTAGTTTGTGTAGCTAAGTATTTGCGCTCTCTAATTAGGCGTTGGTTGCCTTGTTATTGAGCATTGCTAGTGAGCTTAGTTAGCTTTGTGCTTTTGCTTACTAGCATGTGTAGGAGCTCCCTTGTTGCTTAAAGTACTAGTGGCATAGGTTTGTGTGACCTTGCTCCTAGAATTGTTTAGGAGAGCTCTAGCTAGCCCGGCACCTTAGTTGCATAATTAGTATCTTTGCAAGGTGCTAGTGAGCATATATAGAGGGGTGTAGTCTTGGCTAGACCGATTGTTTTAATTCTGCATTTATATCGGTTAGCCGACGCAATTAATTTTAGAAAAGACTATTCACCCCCCCTCTAGTCCGTCATCTTGACCTTTCACTAGCGCCCCAAGATCTTCTAGAACTCTTTCAAGGTCTGGTTCATCAAGTGACAGATCAGCATGCTCAAGAAAATCAGCACCACCCTCAAAATCAGCCTCAAAAGTATCAGCTCCAATATCCCACATTGCTGATGGACCATGGTGGTATTCTTCAGTTTTCCTTGAAAGAAGGCGCAAGTTCTGGTGTGTGAAAACTAAATCCTCAACACGGCTTGGATTCAGCCTACAAAAGCAATTTGCAACCAGGAATCAAACTTCATGCAGGCAGCAAAAAATAAGGCAATTAAGAAAATGACAATAAGAGGTAGAATTAGAACCTGTTTCTCAAGGAACTATGGATCAGCCCATAGGTACTCCAATTTCTCTCAGCACAAGAAGATGATGTTGGCTAACCAAGTAATCTAAATGCTAACTTTTTCGGTGCAGTGCGAGAATGACAATGAATTCCCCACCATTGCTTTGGATCCATATAAGTTCTATCCTCAAGTGAGTCAAATGAATTGAATCTAGGCCCAAACAAAGAGAAATTAGCATATTATTGCTTGATCTTTTTTAGTTCCTCACCAGAAAAATACCTCCTGAAACAAGCATTTCTCATTTCTGAAATTTCCTCATCATTGTGAGGGGCTACTCGGTTTGGAACCTCACCGATCCATGCTTCATGTAGTACTTGGAATTTAGTGAGTGTGCTAAGCGATTGCAAGGGGTGTTACTTTTTGCCCATCGACTCACCAAGATGTCTAGCAATTTGAGAAGAAGGCAGATTCTTCATGTGGTTCTAGCCCTTCATGACGATAGATCACAACCCTCACCTTCTCTATCATTGTATCCCACATTTCATATATCAAATGCAGGGCATGGCTTGTCAAGATGTCATTTGCTCGTATCATAGAATAGATAGGTTCAGTGAAACTAAGGAAGTAGCGCACCTTATCCCACCACACATCATTCACAATCTTGTCTTTGACAAATTGGACCCGACACAGATTATCATCCACAGGGCGGAACCACTTGTCACTCACTACCATCACCGAAAGAGCATCTTTTATAGCAACAAACCTCTTCAACATCACAATGGCAGAGGCAAATCTTGTCTCAAAGAATGGCAAGGAATTTCAGCTTGCTATGCTCATTGAACATAAACAACCTCATAGAGTGATTCATGATGTAATTCTTTATCATGTTGGCATCTGCAATAACCTCACCGATCCACTTGGAATTCATCATGAAGCTCATCCTCGATGTCCCTAGGAGCACAAATGTTCTTCAAGGCAAGGTTCAAAGTATGCACAACACATGGGGTCCAGAAAATATGAGGGTGGAGGAGTCACATGAGCAAAGACTAAGACCTAACTTGCAATAGCGAGGGTTGTTGGCGACAGAAATCCTCCACTTTCGGAACCATCGATGAGATGCGAAGCATTCAAGAAGTCGCTATTGGATCTAATAACAAGAGGAGAATCGGACAAGGAGCGGGGAGATAGGCGAGAAGTGAAGGAAGGATCAGATTAGAGAAGAGAAGAAAAACGGACTCACCGTAGAAGGGAAGGAGCCGTGGCCTCCGATGGCGTGTGGAGGCGGCGAGGGCTCGAGGGCGTGGTCGAGGAGAGAAGACACAAAGGAGAGCCGGAGAACGAAGGGGTGGCCGCGCGGCGTGATCGAAAGACTTCTTGCCGCAAATCTGAATCTGCCGCGCTGCCGAGAGGAGTGTGTGTGCGTGGCGGCGGCAGCTTTGTGGCCGCACGAAAAGGGATTGCGAGAGGGCACACAATGAGGCGGACGGCTTTTATCTGAACCGAGCGAGTGGTTTTAAGGGTTATCGGGTATCCTACAGGTATCGACAAAGGTATCCCGGGAGTATCCACGTATTTTTATTATTTGAAAATTGCGTTAATTTACGTCGTCCGGGATACGTGTCCGACGATATCCGTGCGATATTCGTATCGTCTGGTATCCGATACCGGTACGTGAGTTTTGTGAAGTATCCGCATTTCTTAGTCGCTCCATGCTTGTGGCAGTGGAGACCGCCTTCTCCGGCGACGGGGCGTAAAAATCCGGACTTCAACATGTCCTCGGCCTCGGCCTCTTCACGATCAACATCAGCGCCACCAACAGTGGGGCGACCTCACCTTGGTCTACAAGCGCAAGATTCCTCGCAGCGAGCTGCCGACAGGCCATGTGCCAAGCACGCAGTTGGAGCTTACATCTCAAGAGGCCCGGCGACGTGGAAGCGGCCGCCGCATGATGGGTTTAAGCGAACTGCACCTCCATGAGCGTCTTGGTGCGCGGCTTCAAGATGGGATGAACTGACTCGTGAGTCCGTGTATGCGAGTCATTGATCGTGATGGTTTCCTCCTGGTGGCCGGCGGCTGGAGATTGCGATGCTATGTTACGGATCGTCACTAGGAGCGCGTGTCAGCGTATCCGATGCGGATCGTGTCCGATACTCCTCGTCACGATCCTCGGAGTATCCGATTTTTTCTTTTTTCGCGAATATTGGATACACCCCAGCCCAATAACAGTCAACTCCCTTGTCCCTCTGTCCCCGACGCCCTAACCTCGGATGCCTGCATGCCCGCGCCTCACGCCGCATCCCCGCGCAGTGATGCTGCATCCCCGCTCGTCGGCTGCCAGCCACCTGCGATGAGGCTCTGCTCGCCGGCGACGAGGCCTGCTCGCCCTCACAGCGCGGTGCCAGGAGGTGGCCACCCTTTTCTCCTGGACGTCGGGAGAGATATACAAAGGGGAGGGCGGGCAGCACGGAGGCAGCGGCGTGGTGGGAGCGACGGAGATGTCTAGTGACCTAGGTACGGGAGGAGAAGTGTATGGATTGGGAGGGAGGACGGGGGAGACGTGCGCTGTCGTCGGGAGGCTAGGAAGAGGATAAGGTCGACGGTAGAGTGGGGCAACCAAGACACTTGTGATTTGCGAATGTGATGTCCCGTTCGGTTGATCACTGAAATTTTGGGGGCACAATGGTCACATACTGTCAGCCTCTCGTGACCCTTCACAAAAGGCGCAAATTATGGTGGATATGTACTATTTTGTCGATTGTCTTTACATTCAACTTGTTCCTCTTTGCACTTTGGATGTATCCATAGGCACTCCAAAGTCTCTCTCTTGATGAACTCTTGATAGGTTGGGAAAGAACTCCAGCCATACATTTGCCAAATTTGGGGCACAGGAACCATAGTTGAACCACCATTTAATTGGTTCTATTGTGCTGCATCAAGTTTAACAACGGAAAGTGCAAATATTCCCCTCATAACAAAATCAATAAATTGTTGACATAAGATTTGCATACTCACAGTGCGAATCGCTATTTGACGTAAAGCTTACATTACCCCTTTCATAAACTCTAAATCTTCATTTGGCGGTTTCCTTAGAATGCCCCTAGGAGCTTCCTTTTCAAGATATACTCTATCATAGAACCGTGGAGAGAGCATAAGCAAAACACTAAGTATTCATCTTTTCTCAACATGAAAAAATTACATATTCTATTTCTGAATAGTCATTTTGTGCAGGTTATCATCTTTATCCATAATGTCTTTGATCTTTCCAACCATGTTGTTCATTCTCTCTTAGATTTCTCCTATTTTGGACCTTCTCCGTCACGAATTTTTAGCATTGAGAAAATGGGCTCTGTGATGGCTAGGGACGATTCCACCTCATCCGAAGTTGTCATCATTGATTGCTTTAACAATAGCCTTGGTTTTCATATTACGATAATTGTTGCAACCTTCCATCCAATCTTTCCATTGCTAGGTGACTACGGTGGTGGGAAGTGCTTCTCTACAAGTAATCAACCTGTCCAACATGATGTAATTTGAAGCAAATGGAGTGCATGGTCGCTAATTGGTGTCCCATTCAATATATTCCACAGTCCTTTAAGTTACAAAATCGGTGGACATACTCGATTTGCTTCAAATTACAATATGTTGAAGAGGTTGATTACTTGCAAAGAAGCACTTGCTACCACTGTAGTCACCAAGCAATGGAAAGATTGGATGAAAGGTTGTAGCAATGATCGAAATATGTAAACCAAGTCTATTGTTAAAGCAATCAATGATGACAACTTCAAATGAGGTGAAAACATCTAGGCAAAGCACCAGAGCCCATTCTCTCAGTAATAAAATTTTGTGATAGAGAAGGTAAAAAAATAGGAGAAATCAACGTGAGAATGGACAACATGGTTGGAAAGATCAAAGACATTATGATAAAGATGATAACCCGCACAAAAATGACTATTCAGAAATAGAAGATATAATTTTTTGACGATGGAAAAAGATGAATACTCCGCTTGAATGTCTTGCTTATGCAATCGCCCACGCTTCTATGATAGAGTATATTTTGAAAAGGAAGCTCTTGGAGCATTCCAAGAAACCACCAAATGAAGATTTAGAGGTTATGGAATGGGTAATGGAAGCTTTACATCGAATAGCGATTGATTCGATAATGAGTATGCAATCTAAAAACTTCGACTGCGAGGGCAAGCCGCCCGGGCATTATCGTAAGAAGAAGGCCTTCTCACATAGGCCGAGAAAACCCCGAACCCGACCCGGCCCGACACGGGGAGAAGTAACCCGTCGATGGGCGTCTCCTTTAAACCGAGCTTTGGCACCGGGACCGACGAGGGATTTTTTAACCCCGACTGAAATTCACTCCCCTTTGAGTCGAACTCGAGACACGGAGAGGTGCCGCCAGAGTGACTAGCATATCTCGGTTAACCAATGGACTAGCCATCCTTAGGCATGAGTATGCAATCTTCGTGAGCAATTTAATGATTTCGTTATGAGGAGGAAATGTTTGCACTTCCTTCTATTAAACTTGATGCGGGCACAATGGAACCAATTAAATGGTGGTTCACCTATGGTGCCTAGGCCCCAAATTTGGTAGCGATGGCGGCGGGAGTTCTTTCCCAACCTATCAATAGTTCATCGCCAGAGAGACTTTGGAGTACCAATGGATACATCCAAAGCGCAAAGAGAAACAAATTTGAATGTAAAGACAGTGACAAACTAGTCTATATCCACCATAATTTGCGCCTTTTGTCAAGGGCCACCGAGAGCTACAAAAACAAAGCACATGCCAACTAGGATGTAGATCCTAAAAATTAATAATGTTCCCGATCTTGTAAACTTGCATATAGGATCGAGATTCGGGAAGATCAGCAGGCTACCCAAAGAAACTTGCGATGAAGCTGTGCTACCGTGGAGCCTTGAGACATGTAGTCACGGCTAATGGCGCGGTCTATTTGAAGTTTTATCTATAATTAGCATATAAGTTTATCTTTATTATGAATGTCAAATTCAGACTTATATAATATATTTATATCAACTCAAATGTCTTTGGGATCACGATGCTCGTTCCATAGCTATGTTCCGGATCGTTGTCCCAATTATCTAAGGATCATGATTTCATCCTCGAACCAAACGCCTCGAAGAGGCATACCCCTAAAACCGAACTTAAAATTAGATATCCACGGCCCACATATCCCATTCCTCGTACCTCACGATCGGGAACTTTTATGATTGTGGTAGCGCTACTGCCGCATGGATCGAGGCGGGCGTGTGCGGTGTGTTGAGGGACGAGGATGGTAAGGTGCACGTGGATGAACTAGAATGATACAATAATTCAACTTTAGGGAGTGGAGTGTGCAAACCAAGTACTATGGTGAGATGAGAACTCGACATAAGTTTAGGGATCCGAACATGCAATTTGTAAGTACCATGATCGGGATGAGAACTTCGGACAAGTTTATGGAGCCAAACTTGCAATTTGCAAGTGTCGGGTCTTGGATGGCGAAGTCGAGGATAATTTTAAGGACCTGCTAGCGAAATTTATTCTAGTTTTATTATGTATCTAGATGTAAACAATATGTAGTTATACAATGATCGGGTTCATAAACCCGGGGTCCCTCATGGACCTGCTTCCTAGCAAAAAGCTCGGTCCAGCAGACGGCATTACGAACGACACGCAACTCCTGGGCTGGCCCAAAAACATAACGACAGGCCAGAAGGGCGATCCAGTCTCCAACCGGAAGGCCTGGCCAAGGAGGAACGGCGCTTCGCTTCGACTGGCCCGCCTCTCCGACCGAAAGGCCCGGCCAAGGAGGAACGGCGCTCGCTTCCGACTCCGGCCCACCTCTCCGATCGGAAGGCCTGGCCAAGGAGAGGACAACGCTCGCTTCTGAATCCGGCCCGCCTCTCCGACCGGAAGGCCTGGCCAAGGAGGAACGACGCCCGCTTCCGACTCTAACCCGCCTCTCCGACCGGAAGGCCTGGCCAAGGAGAGGACGACACTCGCTTTCGACTCTGGTCCGCCTCTCCGACCGGAAGGCCTGGCAAAGGAGAGGACGACGCTTGCTTCCGACTCCGACCCGCTTCTCCATCCGGGAGTACACCGAACCTCTGCTTACAGCTCTTCTCCGACCAACGTGGTCGGAGCCGACTGGGAAACGACCGAACGGGGACGTCCGCTCGGTAAGAACCCAAAGAATCAGGCAGAGCAAGTAAGGCAGGGCTCTCAAGTCAACCGCAATACCGAGGACCGTACCCTGCACACCTGTAGGACAGTACTGTCAGGTCATGTCAGAATGGTGCTCTGCAACCTTTCAGACATGTCAGAACACGAACAGTGTTATGAGCGCCGACATTTATCCTACAGTATGGTAGGCGCCGACATTTGCCATACCAGAAGAACGCAGTGGAACCAACCACATGCATCCAGCCATCAACAATATTGTGGGCGCCGACAAACCACCTTGTACCCGATGGCGTGGGCAACAAGACGTAGCGCACACACACTCTTTCTCTCACACTCTCTCTTGTAAAAGCCGTCCCCTTCATCTATAAAAGGGGATGCGCTCTCTCCAGGACGATCGATTCGAACGACTCCGACAGACAACACACAGATCATTCCGATTCTCTCTGCTTGGCTCTAGAACTCTAAGGCCAAACAGAGCATATGCTCGAACACTTAGTGCACGTCGGAGCTCCCGTCACTCTTGGCCCTTCGGTCCGGAGTCCGACCGGACCTCTGATACCCTCCATCTTACTCCCTCTCGTTTGTAACCCCACATCAAACTTCGAGCACCTGGGCTCATGAATAAAGTCACCGACCGACTCAAACTGGGCATAGGGTATGTTGCCTGAACCAGTATAAATCATGTGTCATTGAGTGCTAGGCCACATCCGATCACAACGTACGGTAAAACGACAAATATTTACTAGTTCGTCACTTTTCGCACCGACAGTTGGCGCCGTCCGTGGGGAGGACGTCGTACGTTCACGCCTTTGGTCATCGGATGGCCCACCTTTTCGCCATCTTCGGCATGACGAGCTCAAGCGATACGACTCACTTCGGCTCGCTGGAGTTTCCCGCGCTCCCACCTGTTGGGATGTGGGTTCCTCCCGTCTTCGAGCCGTCTCAGGCCTTCCTCTTTGGAAGTCTGGAATTCGTCACCGACCGGCTCGGCGTGCTTCACCTCCGCGAGGAGGCACTTGTCCTAGCGCCCGTCCAGCAAAGATTCAGTTTACAATTTGAATACAGAAAGCATGATTCCCAGCAGCTCTGCTGAAACACAAGGTTCTAGTGAAGGACTGAAGGCTGAGGAGATAAAGCATGTGAATTCAAATGTTATATGACAGTCCTCACCATGGTCGAGAATAAACATCCTGTGAGACTAATCAACTTTGTCAAATGACCACCTACTCTAGAGTAATGGATTACAAACCAGGCATATTAATGGGGTTCAAATCACAAGGTACTACGATAGCTTTCGAAGGAAAAGGCTACTATCTTGCCTAGGATCTCATACATAGTAAAACCCAAAGGGAGCTTTCTTCAGATATATTACTAAATACTACTATCCATATATGGTAGCCCAGTATTAGCAATTTATAAAATACTAATGTGCACATCTATACTGGTATCAAGTTAGGTACACATATTTTTTTTGCTCAGGCAGACAGATTTTTTTCATACTAGAGTTATGGAATGATGCACCTCAGGACGGCTGAGGAGCATCAACTAAGATACCGGAGCAGAGCTGTCAGAATAAGAAGATGAAGCTGAACATGGTCATCCATGTACAATGGGCCAGGAAAGAGGCATAATTTTGCTTGGAATCGAGTTTGGTTATTCCCAAGCGCACCAAACTATTCCTGAGAGAGATGAATATAAATTGCATAACTAGTCCTTCAAAGTTCTCACCAGAGGCCGTCCTGGCAATCCAGGTAGCAGTGCATCATATCTGAAGTCTGGTAACAATAATCCTATGGCTGTACACCCCACCCCTTTAAAGGTCGTCGAAATGAATCCCAATAAACAAAATCCAGCTAACCCAACTGGTAATGGTTCCAATTCAAATCAGAGCACAGTTTCCATAAGCTTATAGTCAGATTGATGGACCCTCACGAGAACTGAAACTGGCAAAATCAGAGCAAAGCCGCAAATCTACTTACTTGGTTCGTGGATGCCACTGCTTGCCTGGTCCCGCACGGCCGCGAGTCCAGGCGAAACAATCATCCCATGGGTTTGCGACCTTCTTCCATACGCGCCGCCGCCGGGAGTCGAGACGTCTGCCGCCATGGACAGAAGTACCAAGCCCGCGCCGTAGCGGGCGCGGAGGTTGTTCGGCAATCCAGCTAATGCGACGGCACTAGTTGCGATCGCGTGGTAGTGGGACGATGGCTCGCAGTCGCAGTGGTGGTTCGTGCGTTCGCCGCCGCGCCTCACGGCGAGACGGCAGCAGCAGCTGCGCCGCCGTCGGCGACCGGGCGGAACCTCGGGATCCCAGGACCCAGGCCTGCTCAGATTCAGCCCAAATATAAGGGGAATGTATTGTCCGGGTCTTGAGGCGCAAAAGCCGGAGTGCCGAGCCTGAACTCGTGTAGCTCGTGCGGGCCTGAAGCCCATGAACCTTCCCGTCTTGGAATTATGCGCATACGGCCCAACTTTTACTCGTTGGCTTCCTTTTAAATCTTTTTTTGTTGTTGTTGTATCCCTGATGTTATCTGAATAGCTAGGTTTCATTGGAAAATGCAATCTCGATTCTCGAGAGAAATTCTTCTCGAAATGTGGCTGTCATCGTTCAAGACCACAAGCCTAAGGGCGTGTACAACCCAGATAGGTGTTCGTCTCTAAGCGTCTTGAATCTATCATACAGATAGGTATAAAGACAGGTCATACAACCCACAGACAGGGGGTCGGTCTCTAAACTGTTTAATACTTTGCATGTAGCTAGGATCAACTATAAATAAATTTTTGTATACCATTATGTGGCTATTTGATAGAAAATGTATCAAGGATAAATAAGAGCAATATGATTACAATATTTTTAAAAACCATCAATATAATAATTATATTTCATATAGATGCAACGTCTTTTATCTAATTTCTTTTGTTTCCATAGCGTTGCCATATGTGCTCGATTAGATCCTTCTTGAGTTTCCTATGTGTTGGCCGAGCTTTGATAGTGGAATTTCTACGAAGTACCTCTACGAAGGTAGGATTAGGGTTGTCACTTGTACGCACTTCAGGTGGGAGCACTATCGTCGCACTTGGATTCTCATTCAAATCCAAGACTTCTCTAATTGAATCCTTCTCATCTTCCACTATCATATTGTGAAGGATAACACAAGCTTGCATTATGTTGATAACGTCCCCCTGCTTCCATAACCTTGCTGGTCGACGAACAATATCAAAGCGTGATTGCAGCACACCAAATGCGCACTCGACATCTTTCCTCGCCCCTTCTTGCATCAATGCAAATAATTTGTCTTCCGCCGACTGAGGGGCCGTCACTATCTTCACAAATACTGCCCATTCTGGATATATTTTATCAGCAAGATAATAACCCATGTCATATTGTATTCCATTTACATTATAGTGTACCGCAGGAGCTTCCCCTTTTATTGCTTGAATGAACAGTGGTGACTTGTTTAGAACGTTTATGTCGTTCTGAGACCCGGCAGTACCAAAGAAAGTGCCATATACGAAGATCCCGAGTTGCCACCGCTTCAAGGATCATAGTAGGAACGTCTTTATCACCACGTGTGAACATGCCTGCCCAACCTTTCGGACAATTCTTCCATGCCCAATGCATACAATCGATGCTTCCCAACATTCTTGGAAAACCACGAGCCTCATTTTCTCGTAATATTTTTTCCAGTTCATCGCTTCTTGGAGGGCGTAGATATTCTTCACCGAATTTTTCAATCACCCCTTCAGCAAATTTTCCCAAAATCTCCAAACAAGTGCTTGCAGCTATCTTTAACACCTCATCAAGTTGATCAGCCGAGGTTCCATAAGCTAGCATCCTGATAGCCGCGGTACACTTTTGAAGCGGTGAAAGTCCATTCCTACCAGTAGCATCGGGTCTTTGGGTGAAATAAGGAGACCAATCACTGAGTGCATGCACGATACGTAAGAACATCGGCTTATTCATCCTAAATCTCCTACGGAACATCTCATCGGTGTAGATAGGATTTGCAGAAAAGTAATTAGCGACAAGATCATCATGAGCTGCTTCTCGATTCCTTGGTATGTACCTGCGCGGTCCAGTTTGTCGGCGACGGCGAGATACTGTTGATGCTTCTCCATCGATGTAGGCCTTCAATTCCGCTTGTATCATATCTTCTAAGATTCCATCCTCTGCTAGCATATCTTCTACGGTGAACACCTCTGTAGGATCAAAGTCCTCGGCATCTTGCACCTCATCTTGCTCCATAGAAACTAACTAGAGCAGGGCGGTGCAAAATGAACTAACCGGTGCCAATTTATAGTATGATAGCTTCTGCCTCACATTCAGATGACATGTTCACATTCAGATAGCACAATCACATTTAGATAGCACATTCACATTCAGATAGATAGCATATTCACATTGAAATGGCATGTTCACATTCAGATAGATAGCACATTCACAACCACTTTCAGGATGACATGTTCACATTCACAGTCACTAGTAGATAGATAGCACATTCACATTCAGGTAAATAGTAGATAGCACTCAGATGACAGCATCAGGTAGATCACACCATGTCCTGCAAAAATGAGAGGTTCATGTTGCTCAAATTCTTCATGGTAGGTGTAGAGGTGTACAGGTTGCTCAAGTTACCTGTTCAGTCACTTTCACGAAAAAGGGCCTTCCTAAGACACTTCATGGCAGCAACTCGCTCCGTCTTTTCCACATCGGACATTAAACTTGTATCTTGTAAGATGAGGCTGTTATAAGCCTCCATCATCTTTGATTCTTTCTCAAGCATCTTTCTCTTTTTGGTCTCTTGTGCAGTAAGGTGGGCAAGTTTTGTGGTCTCAAGCTTCTCAGATGATAGCTTCTGCTGCACTTCCAATATCTTCATACGGTTTGCATTTGTTTCCTTCTGGAATTTGCCTAATTTGTCTAGATCAATAGCAGATTCCTTTGAGTTACCATTATCTTCACTGCTGGAGCCTTTTGACTTGCCTTTTGCAGCTAGAGTTGTCTTTTTAGCTGCCTTCTGACCCATTGGTCGATTTAGCATCTCTTCCAAACTTTCATCAGTTTCCTGATCCCTTTCTTCTTCAAGGTGAAATGATTTCCTTTTACGTGCATTCCTCAGCTCTTCATTGTATGTTTTCCACTTTGACACTTCTCGACAAATTTTCCAAACCTCAATCCCAACAAAGGGTCCTAGTTTTGTATCTTTGTTGTCCTCCACATAGAACTTGTGGGCTGCATCAGTCCACATTTGATCAGAATATCCACTTGTAAATACTCTGCGAGCCTTTACATAAGCATATTCAAAGAGGTCTGTCCACCTATTAATCTTGTGCCATCTATCCTTGCATTGCTTCAGATTTCTCTTTCGAAGTGGTGGGGTAGTCTTGTTGTAGGATTCAACAACCTCACCCCAATACTGGTTACCACCCTTATCGGCTCCACAGGTAGAGTCTGTTGAATGTTCTATCCAAGCGCTCATCAATCTAAGATCCTCTTCCTCTGTCCATAGGATCCTCTTCTCAGTCCTAACATTGTCATTGTCAAGTAATATTTCTACTTCAGGCTGTGAACTTGCATCATTGTTGGTGGACAGTGGTCTATTCAAAGGGCTGTTGTGAATCGGTGCACCAACCAAATGAAAGTTGTGTGGCTGATTTCCGAAGTAGCTCATGAAACCACCAGATGGACGTGGATCTTTGTCCCTGCAGAAAACAAACAATAACCACTATGGCTTTGAGTTGCAGAATATAGCACAGTACAAACATCTATCCAATATGTTGCAGAATATAGCACAATCATCTATCCAATATGTTGCAGAATATAGCACAATCATCTATCCAAAAAGTTGCAGAATATAGCACAATCATCTATCCAATATATGTTATTCTTCTACTGGATCTTAAACAATGATTGTAAATTGAAAAAATCACAAACCAGGAGAAGAGGGATTACCATGATACAGGAGAAGAGGGATCACTGTTGGCCGCATCAAACTAGGCTTGAGACGGTGAATGAGGGAACGGAAATCCATCTATGCTGGGGAAGCCACCAACGCTGGATCCATCAATGGAGGATGGCGCCGTCGCCGCGCCCTTGCCGACACCACCGGTGGTTGGGCGGGTCCCTGCTGCTGCCGAGCCGCCACCACGGCCGAGAGAGAGAGCCGTCGGCGCAGAGAAGCCACCGCGACCGAGGGTACGGGCTGGGGCCGCCGCCGCCGCATCCAATGCCGACGGTGTGGATGCCTTCTTCTTCCTAGCTGCGGCCGACATGGACATCTCGAGAGTGCGAGGTGGAGATGGATGAGGTGGATTGGGGGAACCAGGATGAGGCGGATTGGGGGAACCGGGATGAGGCGGAGATATGGCTGGTGGAGATGGATTGGGCGCGGAAAACTCCCCCGCGCGCCCAAATCTTCTACCTGCGCGCGCCATCGACTCCTACCCATGGGATCCGAGTGCGCCGTCGCCTCTAGAAGACGAGGCCGTACAACGGAGCCGCCGCCGTCTCTTCCGCCTCGGAGCACGGGAGAAGGCCGTCGCCTCGCGCGTGGCGCGGCTAAACAGGGGATTTCCTGCAAAAAAGCCCATCACGGAGACAGGAAAAAGACGCCGTTGTACATGCCCTAAGGCCCGGAGTTTGAACTCTTAACTGTATATTTTCAGAACATTTCATCGACCATTCTTTATTAATCACCCTGTTCGCTTAAACTTATTGGCTCTGTTCGTTTCTCTTATAATCCATCTTTTTCAGCTTATTTTTGCAGACAGAACAGTGTTTTTCTCTCACAATAAATCAGCTCAAACAGTGTTTCGGCTTGTTTTTTCAGCGAAGCGAACGGGACATTAGCCCGGCTTATTAGTTATGATACAATATTTTTCTCTCACAAGTATCAGCCGGTTTATCAGCCACTAAAACCATCAGGAGAATAGCACGAATATTCTTCAGTCGAAGAAATTCCATGCGTAGATTCAAAGACTTCACATCTGCTTTGGAATAGTCAGTACTTCACTAAATCACTCATTTGTTTGGAGTCTAACGTTGTGTGGTGCACGCTGCTTCACGCGTTGATTCAGCAAGAAAAATGCGAATATCGTTTACCGGTCGTCGAAGACTTTCCAGTTTGGAGTTATATACAAGGGTCTTCTAAAATTTAGTCCTTGTCATATTGATTACGGTAAACATGTTTGATATTATTTAAAGTATTAAACATAGACTAATTATAAAACTAATTATATAGTTCGAGACTAATTTGTGACACGAATCTATTAAGCCTAATTAGTACAAGATTTGATAATATGGTGCTACAGTAAACATATGATAATGATAAATTAATTAGGCTTAATAAATTCGTCTTGCGAATTAGTCACGGCTTGTGTAATTAGTTTTATTATTAATATCCAAATATCTAATGTGACAATAAATATGATATCTAATCGAGCACCCCGGTCGACAAAATGACAATCTGACAAAGCCAGTCCAGGTTCGCACAGGCACACTGCCAAGATACATACTCCGTATTTGTGCCCAGCAGGCAAGCACCGCAGCCCGCAGGCAGCAGGTCCCTCGGTGTCCTTCGATGGCCATGGAGCTGCTGCTAACAGTCGCATTAGCTTCCTTGCTCCTCCACGTAGCAAGAGCCACCGTCGACAACACCACCGCAAGCTGCGCTCCGGCGAGATGCGGGGACCTGAGCGTCACGTACCCGTTCTCGCTCAGCGGCGTGCAGCCGCCGTACTGCGGTTTCCCGGCGCTCCGCCTCACGTGCAACGATGGCCGCCGCGCCTACCTCGACAGGGCGTTCACGGAGCGCCCGTACCGCGTCCAAGGCATATCCTACGACAACAGCTCGCTCGTGGTGTCCGTCGAGGCGTCCACCTTCGCCGGCGACGAGACGTGCAGCATCCCGGACTTCAACGTCTCCTCCGGCCTCTCCCGCCTCCCGCTCAAGATGAGCGACGCCAACAGGAACCTCACCGTCGTTTATGACTGCGAGGTTCCTCGTAGCATACGACTGCCACGGCCGTGTGCTAACCACACGATGGGAGCTTACGTCTCCGACGGCGACGGACCAACGACGGGTGTTCCGACGAACTGCAGCTTTCTCAGCGTGCCGGTGCGCTTGTTCCGTGACGACGGAAAGCCGGCCCCTCATCGCTACGACTACGAGGGACTGATCAGCGATGGGTTCCTCTTGGAGTGGACGGCGGTGGGAGACTGCGCTGCGTGCAAACGGAGCGGAGCAGAGTGCAGGTTCGTCCAACAATCGTTCCAGTGCTTCTGCCGCGACGAGTTGCTCTGCTCAACCACGCCTCAAGGTAAGAAGAGTAGTGCTCTGTAGTTTTTCTTCGAACGCTCCTAGCCATGACTCATACTTCCTGTCTAAAATATAGGTTACTTTTATTTCATTTTAAGTTATACTTCTCTAGTTTTTATCTAGTTTTGTAGAAAAACACACTAATATCTACGATACTACGATACTAAGATAATACACTAATAAAATACTCCCCTCGTTTCAAATTATAAAATGTTTTGACATTTCTAGATTCATAACTTTTGCTACGCATCTAGATACATATTATGTTTAGATTCGTAGTAAAGGCTATGAACTTAAAGGTGTCAAAACATCTTATAATTTGGGACAAAGGGAGTATGTCTTATAATAGATTTAATAAAAAACAATCTGATATTGTAAACGTCAGCTCCAAATTTTGGAACCAAGTGAGTAGTCAGCATAGGTTGTTGAGAGATATGTTTAAAAACATTAAAGCTAGAAATGTTGTCCGATACAATTATACTCCCTCCATTTTAAATTGGTTATTCTAGATAATTTATATCTAGATGCATAGCGAAAGTTATGTATCTAGAAAAGTTAAAAGGACTTACAATTTAGAATGGATTGGTGCAATACATCAGTTTTTCTTGAGTAATCAATACAGAAGTCTTAGTTAATAATAAAACTTATGCCCATGCAGGTATCGACGGTACGGCCAGGAAGATAATCATAGGTATGCCAAAAATCAATTAGCACAAAGGTGCGAATACTGTGCTTGAAAGAAACCTTAGTTTCCTTGGGAGTTTTAGTTCAAATCTTTGGTTTTAGCAGGTGTTGAGCACATAATCTCCTTTTTTGTTCTTTGCGAATCAATCTCCCTTTATATTTAACTACTTAATTGTGCCCTTTAGTACCTAAAATGGCATTGTTGTGCTTCCAAATCCAAAATAACACTCTTCAATCTCAGGGTTCTTGTTAGCAGCTACATTCTTGATTTTTGCATGTGGCATTGCTACTTATGCATTGATATGGCGAGGGAAGGATCACAAACTAAGGGTTACCAACACCATGGAGAGAAACATTAAATACTTGGTTACATTGCATGGATCCCTTACTCCAAAATGATACGATTACTCAGAGGTTATAAAGATAACATATTTCCTTCGTAGTAAGCTTGGAAAAGGCAGTTATGGTACAGTTTTCAGCGGAAGGCTGGACGATGGTCATCTTGTCGCTGTTAACTTATTGCATCTCTCCAAAGGAAATGGAGAGGACTTTGTGAATGAGGTCATGAGCATTAGCAGAACATCCCATGTTAACATTGTTAGCTTGCTTGGATTTTGTTTGGAAGGTTCGAAACGAGCTCTTATATATGAATACATGCCTAATGGTTCTTTAGATAAGTATATTTATGCAGAGAACCACAAAGGAATTTTAGGATGGGACAAACTGTATAAAATTGCAATTGGAATTGCCCGTGGGCTAGAATACTTGCACCATAGTTGCAACACACGTATTGTTCATTTTGATATCAAGCCTCAAAACATCCTTCTGGACAAAGATTTCTGCCCAAAGATTGCAGACTTTGGTCTAGCCAAATTGTGTGGCACAAAAGAGAGTAAGCTTTCATTGACTTATCCTAGGGGAACAATTGGCTTTATTGCCCCTGAAGTTTTCTATCCAACTTTTGGAAATGTCTCAACAAAGTCAGATGTTTATGGTTATGGAATGATGTTGCTGGAGATGGTGGGGAGGCGGAAAAATGTCGAAGCGATGGATGAGAACTCCAGTAAAATGTATTTTCCAGATTGGATTTATGACCACTTTGCTCAAGATGATGGATTACAAACCTATGAAATCGGAAGTGAATTTGAGGAAATGGCAAAGAAGATGACCTTAATTGGTTTATGGTGCATACAATTATTACCTATGTATCGTCCTACAATAACGAACGTTTTGGATATGTTCGGAAGGAGATTAGATGAATTAGACATGCCACCAAAGCAAAACTTATGTCAAATAATGTAAGACCTTGCAATGCACATTTGTTGTAAAACTTCAAAAATAAAGTACTGATCTTCTCATGTTTCTCTCTTTGCAGCGAAGATTCAGCTCACAATTTGAGTGTAGAAAATGCAAGTGCTACAAACCCTAGTAACGCAAAGGTGCCTTCAGGTTGTGGACAGCCTGGTGCAAGGATGATAGTGAAACCACTTATTAGGCCTAAGCCTGGGTTTGCTTAGCCTACAGCATCCCTCGCTTTGTGCCTTAAAAAAATAGAAACAACGATCTATGAGGGTATACATGGTGGTCCAGTATATAATCAAAACAATATTCTTTCTGCCTTGATCATTCAAGAGTCCCTTATCTCACGAGACTAGTTTAAGCAATGTAGAATATGCTAATTTGGCATTGGTGTATCCTAAATCATGTCATATTCCTACTGAGAGCAACGGTAGAAGGTGTGTATGTATAGCCAGCCCGCCAAGGTTAAAATGCTCTATGACGCAAATCTGGGCACTTTTTTTTTCTTCATTAATATAAACTAATACAAGTTTTGAGGTGGTTGGAAAAAAAACTCAATAGCTTTAATTTGTTTTCTCAAAATAAGAACATATCATTTTTTTAGAATAACACAGTACAATGCAGACGCCCACAACACACACGCACACTCACCCCAGAAACATGATACTTTCCAACTATACTGTAAAAAAACTCAAAAACTAAACATGCAGTCTCTCCTAAAAGTGTGAATGGGTGAAAGAATGTACTAGTGCAGCTTTTGTCAAAAGTTGTCAAATTAGCGAAGTATCATTGATCCCGTGCAAACCGATCATAACTACTCCATCCGTCCAAATTATAAGTCGCTTTGAATTTTTTGGTACATCTATTTTATTATGCATCTATATATAATAATATGTCTAGATACATAGGTAAATGGATAAACAAAAAAATCAAAGCGACTTATAATTTAGAACGGATGGAGTATATTATATTGATTGATGCTTTTACTTCTCTAGCACACCACTACCCAAGTCCTCAATACCAGTATCAAATTAGTCATCATAGTGCTCCTCATCATCATTTAAGGATTGATATATATGCGACTAGAGCATATCAAGTTGGATATTAAGACGATCAGGTAACTATGTACGTAACATGTACCAATAACTAGCATAAATCTTGCTTCCGTTGCCTGGAGCACAAAATTACTCCCAAAGGCAAACGACTTTAGATGATAACTAGTGCCTTTTAAACTTAATTAATTACTATCATGACACAGCTTTACAAGATAGATCTTCAGACCTAGTCCACCTGAAGTTAGGAAAAATTCTCCTGAAAACTAAAGAAAAATTATGCAAAGTTCCACATATGTATAAAGAATATATACTATTACTCCAGTTACGTCGGAATTAGGTCAAACTGAAAAAGGGGCTAATACGATAGAAGTATTTTGTGAGACTTACATTGGCATGTGCTCTCGTGTTGGAATTCTCATGCACATGCACCTGCCAGGACGCCCACGGCAGCTGACTGTGAATATCACGATTCACAAGTCTACCACTAACGGTCAGGATGCTCGTAAGTAATGCACAACTACTAACAATCTGGATCCTTACCATGTACTCTGACTACATGCAGTCAACATCTTCATGGAATTGGTTCCGGCTGAGTCACCGAAGGGCAAGTCTTGACTACAGAGGTGACATGACTAAAGTCTGAGCCATCATCATACTATGACTGGCCGGGTATACCTTTTGAACACAACAGTGTGGTCATGGTTGGCAGGCCAGCTTAGTCTAATCACTGTCATCAGCTTCTAGTCCTTTGTATGCTTCGGAAGCTAGGGCCTGTTCGGCTGGTATTAAAGCCGGCTGATAAGCCGGTTGAGGCTGTTTTGTTGTGAGAGAAAAATAACTTCCGAAGCATACAAAGGACTAGAAGCTGATGACAGTGATTAGACTAAGCTGGCCTGCCAACCATGACCACACTGTTGTGTTCAAAAGGTATACCCGGCCAGTCATAGTATGGTGATGGCTCAGACTTTAGTCATGTCACCTCTGTAGTCAAGACTTGCCCTTCGGGCACTCCACTTCTCAGACAACCAACAAGTTCTTCATATCTACTCTGTTCGGCTACATGCCTCCATGTATGCATCTCTCAACTCTGTCTCCAGCCCTCCACCCAATTTGTCACCTCCACTCCGATGTCCCTGTTTAGCTTGGCCTTGCTATGGTTAGCTCTCTCACTTGTAGCAGCCGTCGAACCAGCAGATGACCAAGAGGCTAGCTGCTCGCCCAAGTTATGCGGCAACCTGACTATCTCAGACCCATTTGGATTTGTTCCGGAGCAGGCAACGGACACAAAATGCGGTCGTCTGGGATTCGAGGTCCATTGCAACAACAGCATTCCATACCTCGGGTATTATCGGCGGAAGTATAGATTCCGGATCCTCAACATCTTCTACGACAACAGCTCCTTGCTTGTCGCTGATATCCACAAGCTCGAGGACTTCATCGGATCCAACTCCAAGGGCTGCCATGTTCTGACTTCCAACACCTCCTCCAAAATCGGTCTTCCATTCTCGATCAGCCCTGTCAATCTGAACCTCATCTTCTACATGTGCACCAAGACACCGGAGCCGGATATGGGGCTTGTGGAGACGAAATGTGGCAGCAGCTTGCTTGTTCATGTTGGAGGGCATTACAATGACTCGAGCAACTACACGCAGTACTCAGTTGAGGGATGCAGCACTACCCTTGTGCCAGTGCGGGGGGCATTTGGCGAGGCGAACGCGAGCAGCTATGAGCAACTCATCAGCGATGGCTTCCTCTTGACATGGCAGCCACCAACTGGTAAATTCACTTGTGAGATTATTACAATCAAATAAATTGAATCATGCCTTTGGTGTGAAAAAGGTCAGATTCTTCTAGTCCAACTGAAAACCAAAGTCACAGTCAATTAGCATGCCAGTAGGACATCTGACATATCTCATCATGACATCATTTACATTTAGGCTGTGTTTAGTTCGCGAAATGAAAATTTTTGGATGTCACATCGGATGTTTCGGGGATATCGGAAGGGGTTTTCGGATACTAATAAAAAAAAACTAATTACATAGCTCACCTGGAAACTGCGAGACGAATTTATTAAGCCTAATTAATCCATCATTAGCGCATGTTAGTTACTGTAGCACTTATGGCTAATCATAGACTAATTAGTCTTAAAACATTCGTCTCGCGATTTCCAACCAAACTGTGCAATTAGTTTTTTTTCGTCTATATTTAATACTCCATGCATGTGCCGCAAGATTCGATGTGATAGTTTGGGGTAAAAAATTTTGGGAACTAAACCAGGCCTTACATTCCTAAGGAGGTAAAAACATGACTCAGTAACTGGTTGTTGCACTTTTGTAGTGAATGCACATGAGAAGATTTTGCAACAGGCAATTTACTCAATTTAAAACAGTTGAAACTTGAAACACTAATTTTAGAAACATATCACCTGTAAAAAAAGGTAAATGTCAAGAAAAAATAGACAGTGCCATGCTGTCACGGAAAAATCACTAGTCATATTGCACTTCCCTTCAGTTTTCTCCAATAATGCTATCTCTGTCATTATTGGATAATTTTTTGTTGTGATTGAGATGTTGCTAACTAGAATCAATATATATTGCAGACAGGAGGCACAACATCAGATTAATTCTAATAGGTACTCCCTCCATCCCTGAACAAATCAATTCCTGGAAGTCATTTTTTTTATGTTTGACCCAATTTATAGAAAAAACACAAATATTTATGAAACCAAATAAGCACATAATGAAAATACATTTTATGGTGTATGTAACGATACTAATTTGGTGTCATAAGTCTTTGTGCTCTTTTGTATGAGTCCGATCAAACTTAGAAAAGTTTGATTTAAGACATCTCTATGAATTAATTTATTCAGGGATAGAGGTAGTATGTATTTATTTGGTTAGCTATACGTATTGTACTACCATCTAAAGTTTCAGCTGGCAGGTTAGCCTCGTGCTCTTATGTGATAACAGAATAGGATCTACTGCTATTCTTATCAGTTTTGCAGATATCTATATCTGATATTACAGAAGAACTCTAGGGAGAAGATTAAATTAATCATATGGAATTATAGCATCCTCAAGAACTTGCATATGCATAGATGGAAATCTTCTATAGTAGTGTATATTTCCATGGCTGGGTTTCATTCTTTGGTTTTAATTTTCTAGGTTCCATGTCTGCTACAGCTGGGTTGTTTTTCACATGTCTTCTTTGGTTCATATACCGTCGGAAACAAAAGCTCGGTGTCTTCATTCTCCAAAAGCATGCTCGGAGTAAATCAAATATGGAAGAGATAATAAGGAGATATCAATCACTGACCCCAAAGAGGTACAGTCACTCGGATCTGAAGAAAATAACAAGAGGTTTTAAGGAAAAATTAGGAGAGGGTGGTTATGGTACAGTATTCAAGGGTACTCTACCAGATGGCCATATGGTTGCTGTGAAACTCTTAAAAGGGTCCAAAGGCAATGGAGAGGAATTCCTAAATGAGGTTACTACTAGCATTGGTAGGACCTCCCATGTCAATATTGTCAGTTTATTTGGCTTTTGTTTACAGGGATCTAAGAGAGCCCTTGTTTATGAGTACATGGCCAATGGCTCTTTAGAGAAGTATATTTATTCAGAGAGTTTAAAGTCGGCACTTGGATGGGAAAAATTGAGGAAAATAGCTATTGGCATCGCCCATGGCCTGGAGTATTTGCATCAGGGCTGCAGCACCCGCATCATCCATTTTGATATTAAGCCCCACAACATCCTTCTTGACGAAGACTTCTGTCCGAAAATTGCTGATTTCGGATTGGCAAAACTGTGTCATGTCAAGGACAGTGCTCTCTCAATGGGTGACGCAAGAGGCACCATTGGTTTCATTGCTCCAGAAGTGTTTTATAGAGGGTTTGGAGTTGTGTCAACTAAGTCAGACGTTTACAGCTATGGAATGATGATACTACAAATGGTAAGCGGCCGGGGAAATACTGAGAATTCTAGTGAAACGTATTTTACCGACTGGATTTATGACTGCATGTTAAAGGATTTGCAAAGCCATGAAGTCACATCCGAGCTAGAAGAGACTGCAAAGCAGATTGCTCTAGTTGGCTTGTGGTGCATACAAATGGCCCCAGGAAGTCGTCGTCCTTCCATGAATACAGTCACAGAAATGTTGGAGAAGAATATCAACGAATTGAAAATGCCACCCAAGCCATTCCTTTCCTGCCCCCTGCCCCAATCACATTTCTCATCTTAGCCAAGATATTCCCTATTGGGAGGACTCATATCATCTATGTTTTATAATGTCACTCAAAACCAAAACAATGAAAAGTATATTCTTGTAGCACCTTTGAATTACTATTGCCCATTTTCAATAGATGAATATACATATTCATAAAAGCAGCAAATCAATGTGTGGGTTTAATCATAGTTCCACGTGATCCTACCATATACATTGTTATTTGATTTGCTGCTTTGCAATTTTCCATCACCCATGCACCACACATCACACATAGTCAGTCCATCATCCAAATATTAATGTACTACCAATTTGTGCCCACATCAAGTTATGTTCACCTGTTTGTCCAAATTGTAAACCTTCCTGCAATCCAAGACCCAAAACATGTTCACTAGTATAGGAAGTGAGCCTAGCTCAATTAGGTGGGTGGGAGGTGTAGTTGTACACCCAACCACAGCCAGGTAAGTCCCCTCTAAGCTTGAATTTGGGTGTCTATTCTCTCTTCGTAACGAAAAACCGCCTAGTTTCTAATAGATTGGATCTCGTTTTTTTTTAAACAAGCATATAAAAATTATAAAAGAACACCCACATATCCAAAGGCCGAACGCTAACAGTTACAGCAGACCGTTTCCCAGCAACATTAGGCTTCCTTTGGGAGCTCGGGGCAGCTCAGCCCAGGGAATAGCAGCCCCTAGGGGGATTTTTGTGGACGGTCACATCCCCCTCCACGCCAGGGGAGATGAGTCCTGTTCTCTGGCGCTGTTTGGAAGCAAGCACATGGGAGGCAAGCCCAGGGTGGCTGTTAGAATCGACGGCTGCCTTGGATTTAGAAAAAACCATCCTTTGCCGTTCAAATTCAATTAAAAAAGAAACAAAAAAAGGAAAAGAGAGTACAGGAGCAAGGTAAACAAGCCCAAAAATTGAGAAAAAACAACGAAATTCAATACATATTCAATAATTCAATGCCATAATAAAGTAAAAAATGGACAAAGATGCAATTATAACCCAAAAAAATTCTTCCAGAACCTGGCGCCAAATACCTTCAACTCGAGCATAAATGTATCTCAAGAACCAAACTAAAAGGCAGTACACAAGGTAACATCCAGATAGCAGCTTGTAATTGTCTTGAAATTGTTATTGCACCTTCTATTCAAAATGGCAGCACTAAATAATAGAAAGATATTCCTATTTTTATTAAGATCCAGAGAATAAACTCTACTAGTAATAGCCACTATTACATCAGATCATTCATGAATCATCAACTGAAACAGATAACTTTGTTTGCAACTCACATAACCTGAGATGAACTAATACTTCTGCAACAATTATGTTCACTAGGACATCTGCAGTTAGGACAAACAAGCATCAAGTTAGTTTCAGTATACAAAGTTCATATGCTCATTTCTTTGAGTAACTTTTTTTTTGCTCAATTACATATGTTCAGTATGTCTATAGGACTAGAAAACTACATTTCCTTCACCAAATATCTACTACAGTAACTGAATACTGTCAATGGAAATTTCAGAATCATATGCGAAGAGTGTTTCATATCAGTGCGTTGTTTGTGGAATCAGTTAAACATGTATGTTGCAGGAGCTAGTAATTCCTGTGACAAAAACAAAAACACAAGCTGAAAGCTAGGAGCCAGTGACCACTATGTACTTGCTGGCCACCACTACAAGTCAGTGAAATTTAATAGATACAAACGGCTAGAGAAGCGATCACCACTACAAGTCAGTCTAATGAAATCCAACAAGATATAATTGCACTGCAAGTACACTGCAGTTTCATAATAGATTAAAGCTTGCATCTTTCACTGGCCACACTGAAACAGGAAATATAGACAGTAGTGTACTCAAACGTGGGTTTACCTTTGAAACAGAATCACACTTCTCCACCAGTTAGTCACTGGGACATCTGCAATTAATGAGGCAAGAATCATCTCAGAATACAAGTTTAGTTTAGATGATCTAATGCTACAAGAGAAGAACACTAAGACAACAAGCAAACATACCTGTGAAATTTTTTTCTTTAGCCAAACTAGTCGAACAGCTGAATTTTTTGTCATCATAAATATCTGTCGATTCATCTCAGATTGAAAGAGCTCATTAGCGTCTGCCTTCTGCTCAATAGTTAGGTCTTTTATGGTATCCACGACAGCAATGCACTTTTCTACAGAATAGTCATCTTCTTTTTTCTTCTTCTCATCTAGTTTTTCCTGATTTTTCTCCATCTGGATCTTTCTCAAGTCTATGAATTCGCCGAGTTTAACTGACATTTGACTTTGCTTGCGTTTTTTTCCACTAGCACTTGCTCCCTCCTCTAGATTGAGATAGGGTGGTGCAGATTGCACTTCTGGGCCCTCAATTTGAGAAAAAGGATTTGTACCAAAATTGATGCCAATAGAATCAGAGCCAGCAGCCGTGTTCTGTGTACTTTGCTCAGAGTGACTTCTTTCAATTGGAGGTTGTGCTGTCATGTTAGGTGGCTCGGTTGATGTAAAATTCAAATCTCCAGTGGCTATACTTCCTATCAATACACATCACAGATGCACTCTTAGGTATTATTCAAAGTTATTCAGCACCATAGGCACATGTTTATCAATTCAGATTTACGATACAGCTAGCTCATGAATACAGCACCACAAAAATTGTATTCATGAGGAAACAAAGGAAAATTACCTGTAGGTGTTAGGATTCTAAAGACTGATGGGGCTCAATTACAGGTGCAGCAGTAAGACTTTGGTTTCACTGATTTCATAATGATATGTTAGCTGTTGATCCAATTGAAACCAGTAGCTTGATGCAGTGGTGGATTCTAAATATGACTATGTTGTGGCTTGCCTAGATCAGTGGTGACATATAGCAGCGGCTAGCTCTCGTACTTGCTCCCTGCAGTGCCAATTGTAGCAGTGCCGGCCGAGACGACCGTAAGCTAGCTATAGCTTAAGCGAAGGCGCGAAGCTAGCTGTTCATCAGCTAGCTCGAAGCCGCTGATGCTAGCATCGATCTTGCATCATCAATAGATGCATGATTGCAGCAGCTTGCACCAACCACCGGTGTATGTATATGCATATATAGATTTTTATATACCTCCTAGTCGAACCAAATTAAGCTTGAGTCATCAAAGTACTATATGCTTATACAAAATCAAAATTAGGTAGTGACGCCGCCGCGCATAAACAATTAGTACCAGCTAGTAGCATAAACTCCTATGTTAATTGAGATGTGATGACAGCAACGGGAAGAAGCAGGATTCTAAAAGGAACCCAATGGAATTTGGATTATGGTAATATGAAGATTGAAGTTTGAGCAAATGTCACTGAGAAGCCTTACGCTATAGGCTAAGTAGTGTCCAGCACAACAAAAACTTAATGTGGGAGGCTATTATGTTAGGATAAGTAGTCTTCAACAAAAAAGTCATGTTAAGTATCAGGAAGTATACAGCACCACAAAAACTGTATTCATGAGCAAACAAAGGAAAATTACCTGCATACAATGATGCCAGGTGTTCATAAAGAGGAAGTGGCTTCTTTTGGAACTTACTGACTTTGGGATACTTCTATTAAATGCAACAAAGCAACATTTTGGTTAGCTTCTTAAAATAGTGAAAACACAGTACTATATAATTGACAGAAAGTGACTAACCTCAATTAGGTCTTCCCATTTCTTTGGTTCGGCAATTATCATGCTTAATGTCTCATTCCAACCAACACCACTCTCTTTTCTGGCATCTCTAACTGTCCTATAGTTTCCTTTCAACTCCTTCTCCTTCTCTTGCATTTGTTGTTTTGAAAAATGAGCTAAAGGGAAGGTTTCGTTGAACCGTTTAACAATATTTCTCCATCCATCTGCTGTCCAGCCATTTTGTGCCCTGTACATTGGGATATTGACATGCTCTTTCATTACATCCACCAGCCCTTTCTCATACGTGTAGGTCCATGCAGCCCTTGTACCCTAGGACGTTGACATTGCTGAAAAATGGTGAAAGATAAATATAAGCTAAAATTATAGAAATATAAATGTAAGGTAAAATGCTGAAAATGATGAACAATGCTCTAAATTACCATCTAATTATTATAGGCAGCCCACATCGCTTGCGCGATTTGATCTCGTAATGTGTTACCATCACTCGATTCTATCTCGCTTGGATAACTGTTATCCCCCTCCGGCATATCAACAAAAGTGGTTGGATTGATATATTGTGGTTGGTGATCTAGCCAATTATCTTGCCCATTGTGCGCTCTAATTATATTGTGAAATACCGATGCTGCTGCAGGAATCTTGATCTGAGTCTCAATTGGATAGTGTGTTCCCACTTTCAGAATTGGAAACCGTTTTTTCAACACCCCAAATGCCCTTTCAATATGATTCCGAAGTTGTGCATGCCGATGATTAAACAACTCCTTGTAGTTTGCATACTCATTTCTCTGCGATGATCCATGCCTTCTAAACTCGCCAAGGTGGTACCTAACTCCTTGGTACGGTGCTATGAATGATGGAGTGTTAGCATATCCGCCATCTACAAGGTAGAATTTCCCTGGCGGTACATGAAAACCCTTCGTAAGAGCAGAACGTAGGACTCCTGCATCAGACGCAGATCCTTCCCACCCACAAGAGATGAAAGTGAATTTGAGATCAAAGTCACAAGCGAACATAACATTCTGGGACAATGTCCCTTTTCTGTTTCTAAAAGGAGGGGCCTTATCTTCATTGATAGTAATAGGGATATGTGTCCCATCAATGGCGCCAATGCAGTTCTGCACGTAAAAAGGAACCTAAGATTGTTGGAATAGTGTGTTTAGAATGATACAAGGGCAAGCAACATATATGACTAACCTGGAAGAACGGCATGAACCGAGGGTTTGATAAAATCTTGGCATGTGTTTGGTTTGGATTTGGAAGCTTGATGAATCTATGAGTCAATGTTGGAATTATATCGAAGACCTCATTGACTTTCCTATGAATTGTCTCACCGCTGTGTTGGAATGCTTTCTTCAGTGTTTCAATGCTAGCATT